CTTTTAAAAATATATAGAACATAAAGTTAAGTTGGCAGGCAAGTGGCAAAAAAATTATTTTATTATTTTGGTAATGGTCTACAGTATTTCCCTTTAAGAGCATTGGAGACCCTCAGATAAAGTACATCAGGGTGGTCTCTACTTTCAGGTTTCCAGAAGATGTCACTCAGCCAGGAAAAGCCAAGAAATACCCCTCATGAGTGGAAAAGCTAACTTCTAGGTAACATCTGAGCAGAAATGCTGTTGCAATCCCCTTCAATGCTGCTCCCCGTTCCTGGACCCCATCGCTGTCTTGTGTTCTTTTTGCCTGGATGATCCCTGTCTTGATTAGTTCAAAACTGAGTGGAGGAAAGAGAACAATTTCCACTCCCAACAGCTAGACTCTATGCATGCCCAGTAAACTGCCTAGTTCTCCTTTTATCCTTCTCCTCCACTTTTCCCCCAGCCCTCACGCCAAAGCCTTTCATTCTTCCCTTGAAGGAAAGCCCAGAAGGAATCGTTTTCACAGCAACTGAAGAGCCTAAATTGTGCCCTGGTTCTTTTTGGATGACATTGTTAAGGAACATATGACCCAGCTTTCCTAAGGTAGTAAAACAGTCCCAGGGGTGCATAATGGTCAACAGAACCACCTTTCACTCCCAAATTGTCCATTTACATGATGTTATAGAGTCACACTAATAATCAGCTCTCATAATTCCCATACCTGGAGGGTATGAGACATATTAATAACTTCATGTTAACACCTTGGAGAAAATGTATGTCTTGGCTCCCTATGGAATCGTTTGTGAAGTCTGACCTGTCTTCTCCACCACTCATGGGCACCTTCTTTCTCCTTGTTCCCCTTCTCAGCATCCAGCAAGCTAATCCTCAGGTTTTCCCTACCCTTCCACCGCCATGGCACACATCCCAAAAGCTTCTTGTTGCTATGCTTGAAGTTTTACACTTTATCCCCATTACCCAGACTCCCCTCTTCCTAGCTCCTTCCCAACAGGGTTATAAATCAGGCCAACATCATCCAAAAGCCAACCATGCGCAACCTTCCCACATTCTGTTCACTCTCCTGCTAGTCCTCCCTCAATTCTTATGACCATTTTGTCCTAATAATAGGTACTTCATTTGTGCATTTCCCGGTACTATTGCAAATAGCTGCTCTGCCTCCCTAAATAAAGTGTAAGATCCTGAAGGGTGAATGCCCCATTTTCTCATTCTGTTGTATTGCCCAAAGCATCTATTATTCTGCACATGGTAGAAGGTCTGTTAATGCTGATTAAACTACCCGCCTTGGTGATTGCAGCCATAGAAAAACACATGTCTCTAAGGGGCAATACTGCAACATTACACGTACTACTCTGTGAGGCAGGTGCTTTCTCCACACGCCCCCATGTTGTTTGAGCTCTATAGAGCCTACTGGTATGTCTACAGATCTCTGAGTGAGTTTAAAAGCTGCAGTCAAAGTTACATTGAACCCAGGCTGGGGTCTGTGCATAGTGGTCACTGAGATTTTTTTCCCATTGCTTATGACTAAACAGACAGAATCCTAATACCACCCTTCTAGATTCTACCAGTTCTGGCAGAATGGAACATTCTGTGCTGATAACTACTGCTTTCCCTTATGGAAAAAGGGAAATCTTTACTTAAAATTCATTTTTCCTCATTTCCCCATGTTTGCCTTCTTAAACGCCTTTTAAATCTAGGTTCTGTGGGGCTGTTTGTGCTCGAAGCTGGGAGTACACTGCCTAGTTAGGAAACTTGAGAATTCAGATAATACTTACAGAGAGCATTGAACACCAAATTTCAGTCCTGCCAAGAAATAAACAGAAGTTTAGAACTATCTAGAGGAATGGGCAGTTCTTGACGTTCATCACTGTCCCTCAAGACTGCATACATAGATGTACAGTAAAATACATTTTCTCCCCCCTTTCAGTAGTTAACTTTCCTGTTCTCCTGTTATATTATTTACACGTTAGCATAGGAAATATATCATTTGCAAGCCTTACCTCAAAGTGGCAACCAGCCACCCCACTTTCACTAGATAGCATATTTTTCTACTTAATCTTCCCCCAAATACACCGAATTTCTTTTTTTTTAAGCTAATGAACTCACATTAATCTGTTTCCTACATATTTTAAAAATACTCATTGGATAAAGCTTGAAATATTTTATATTTTGCAACAGTGCCCCTAAGACATTTTTTAAGGAAGCGTCTTGATTATTTTATCTTACTGCAGTGTCATAGAAACAGAATTATACATCCAAGTGACATTTCCCATTCAGAACATCCACTACTCTTCTAAGTAAGGAACTCTTGTGACCAGATATGCATATATTCATTGACTGTGTTGCTCTACTTCTCCATTTAGAGAGGACCAGGAACCCTCTTGATAAAACGACCATGTGGCATTACTACAAAGTCATTAGGTTGCATGAAGTTTCTGGAAATCCCAAATGATATAAATGTTTACAAGGAGCAAAACATGTTTGACATCTTTAAATGACCACCAGGCAGCATTTTATGCCATTGTGATTGGAACCTAATGACTAATGTGAAACGATGTTGACATGTCATTTAAAAGGTCAATGGAAATGTAACTTGGAAAGATTAATATTATATAAATCCAAATAACACTGTTTCTGAGAGTAGTGCATCTGGGTTAGGGTGGCTTGCTTGAAAAATTCTCTTGGCTGTCCATCATGCCTGAATGGTTATTTCACTCCTTGATCTGGGGAGACCTGGCAAAGGTCTGTGCATGGTGATTCTGGGCGTTTGAGAAAGCAGGATTTATTAGGCTAAAGAATGAGAAGATTATTATCCTGCCAGCAATGGAACACCTCTTTGGCTACCACCTCACCTAAACCTTGATTAAATCCAAAAATTGTTCTAACTCACTGCAGTGTCATGGAAAATCCAAAAATCAGCTAAACTTTCCAAATCAGACTCCTGCCATTTTCATTTACAGCACCCTGTACTAAGTAGCTGGGGCTTTCCAAAGCAGGTGCTACCTATCTACAGAAAGAAATTCACAACTTCCGTTGCCTCTCCAGTTCCGTTATGCTAAACTCACCAAATAGGTTAGAAAATGTTAGTTGTTTGGTTCCTTGTGATTTCAACACCCCACTAGTCAATTTGCCGAATTATCTAGTCACCCTCCCACCAAACATGATTTAGCTCGTCCCTATCAGATTGGTGTCACAGTTCTTGCAAATGCTCTCTCCTTCTTTGTCAGCAGGCAGAACTCCTTTCATTGCAAAGAAACATAAATCACAACATCTTAATGTTCTTTTGCTCTTTTGACATAAAAGCATTTGCCTTCTTATATAAACAGATACTTTTGTATATCTACCAGATCCCAAATAAAGCTGAAATGGCAAGAGTGAGCATTTCTGGAAACTTATGAAATTTTAATAAAAGGAGACAGGTTTAACAAATGTCAAGAAAAGAGGGGTAGACTCCTTACTTTTATAATTCAAGTTTCTATTTTGTATTCATCTATGAGCATTTTCTGACTGAAACTGCGGCTTTGTCTAATGAGACTTGTATGATTTTCTGTAGTTGCTTTTTACATTTGGAAGCAAACTTTCCTAAAGTGTGCTTGATTGTCTCCTTTCTGTTAGGGATTTGATTAAATTATTCTAGCTGTTTCAGTTGTTCCTTGTTATGTGCTTAAAATATGTGACGTTATGCCTTTGCCATCTCAAAAACTATCTGTGGACAAAATCCATGAAGCCTGCCGACTGTGATCTATACACATGAAAGAAAAAATAGATTTTTCCTCTAAGCAGTGAATCAGTGAATAAGAAACTGTTCAGCATCCTCTGATTCCTGACCCTTTTACCCTTCATGGCCTTTTTTTCTATTCGTAATCATTCATTGAGTAATCGTGTATTCTTGTACAATGCAAAATCAACTTACATGCAATCAGGTAAGGACACAAGACACACTTGTGCCCTCAATTTCAGGACTCACAGATACCCTAGCAGTCACAGGACTGTAGTTCACTCAATAGTTGTGTTAACGATGTGGCTTTGCTATAAACTAAGTTGCTGTTTTCTTTACTTTGGACTCTAAGATTTTAAATGTTGCAATGAATTAAAGAAAACATATTTGAAGGCTGATCTCAAAAACCATCAGCTATTCCTCTGAAAGCCGTTGTGCAGCTTCTGAAATGTAGTTTATTGCTGTAAATATGTACTATTTATGTTCGCTTGTTTATTCCTAAAATAAAAATTTTTTATTAAAAATGCCTACCTGTAAAAAGTTTACTTTGTACTATTTTAAAAACATGCACAACTTCAGATATATTTGTATAATATTTAAAATGTTTAAAATTCTGAATCTATCATTTGAGAGCTTTTACTTATTTATTTTTTTAAATATATTTTATTGATTTTTTACAGAGAGGAAGGGAGAGAGATAGAGAGTCAGAAACATCGATGAGAGAGAAACATCTATCAGCCGCCTCCTGCACATCCACCACCGGGGATGTGCCCGCAACCCAGGTACATGCCCTTGACCGGAATCGAACCCGGGACCCCTCAGTCCGCAGGCCAACGCTCCATCCACTGAGCCAAACCGGCTTCGGCTTGAGAGCTTTTATGGTAAAATTTAATACAAAGCAAAACCCTTATATTTGGAAGAAATTCTTTGCAGTATTATCCAACAATTGGGGGGAAACACCAACACTTTCCCAGGAGCTTATTTCTGTACCACTTGGACTTAAAAAAAAAAAAAAACTATACTAGTATATATATTAACACACCTTACAAACATTTGAACAAATGGACAGTTGGTAAATTAGGAAAAAAAAGTCCTCTTATATTAAAAAATGACGCCTAAAGCAGATTTTAATAACATCCATTTATGAGGTGTGTTATGGCAAATTTCTTTTCAAATCTTCACTGTAAATATATTCATTAGAGTTGGCCTACTTGTCAGCCTTTCCTAATTTGAAAACTTCCAACCTCCAAACTCATTCTCTCCCTTCAGAAATATGTTGGCAGTAAAATAATTAACAAATTGAAGGTGTGAAGCTTTCTTCTCCATTAGTTGGTGGTAAGCGTCTAAATTCCAGAGTAGGGAGGACACAGGTCGTTAAAAAAGGAAAAATACGGCATGATTCCACTCATATGAAGTATTAAACTGATAAGAACAGATACTACACTTGATCTTAGCCAAAAGGCCGAGAAGCGATATATGAAGTATTTAAAGTAGACAGACTCGTGGAGCAGAAAGCAGAATGGTGGTTGCCAGGGGCTAGGGAATGGAATTGGAGAGCTGCTGTGCTATGCGTAGTTTCAGTGACACAAGATGTAATAGTTCGAGAGATCTGCTGTACAATGATGTGCATAGTTAATACTGTACTGAACACTAAAAGTTTTGTTAAGGTAAGGTTCATGTTAGGTGGGGTTTGTTGTGTGGTTTTTGTTTGTTTGTTTTGCCACAGTTAAAAAAAAAATGGTACAGTGACTTTGAAAAAGTTTGGCAGTTTCTTACAATAATTATGCAATAAAATCCAGCAATCACACTCCTAGGTACTACTCAGTTAATGTGAAAACCTGTGTCCACATAAAAATCCACTTGTGAATGTTTACAATAATTGGCAAAAAGTGAAAACAACCAATGTCCTTCAATACACGAATGGATAACCAAACTGCCGTACAACTATACAGCGCAATATTATTCAGAGAAAAAAGAAATGATTTACCAAGCCACACAGAGACATGGAAGAATCTTAAATGCATATTGCTAAGTGTAAGAAGCCGGTTGGGAAAGACTACATACTGTAGGATCCCAACCATATGACATTCTGGAAAAGGTAGAACTATTATAGACGTTTTTTAAAAAATCACTGGTTGTTGCCAAAACCGGTTTGGCTCAGTGGATAGAGCATCGGCCTGCGGACTGAAAGGTCCCAGGTTCGATTCCGGAGAAGGGCATGTACCTGGGTTGCGGGCACATCCCCAGTAGGAGATATGCAGGAGGCGGCTGATCGATGTTTCTCTCTCATCGATGTTTCTAACTCTCTATCTCTCTCCCTTCCTCTCTGTAAAAAATCAATAAAATATATTTTAAAAAAAAATCACTTGTTGTCTGGCGTTCAGAGGAAGGTGTAAAGGGCTGAATAGGTAAAGCACAGGGGATTTCTAGGGAATTGACCTATTCTGTGCAGAGGATACATGACCTTAGGCATTTGTCAAAACTCAGCACTATTCAACATAGTGAACCTTAATGTGCGCAAATTGAAAAATCACTTAGGAAACCGGGTGATTTTTCAATTTGCAAGGAATACAGACAATGATAAATAAAAACAAAACAAAAAAAAACTTAACTGTATTACAAATATATAAAACAACCTCACTGGAACATATTATTAAAAGAACATTAGGTATGAAGTCTGAATAAACTATGGAATTTAGTTTAAAATAATATACTTATATTAGGTCATTAATTATAATTAATGTACAATACTAATATTACACATTAATAATCTGGGGAAAAATGCATGTGTGGTGTATGGGATCTCTCTGTACTTACCTGCTCAATTGTTCTGTAAATCTAAAAGTGTTCTAAACAAATATAGTCTACTTACAGAAAGAAAAGAACAAGCTACAGATTGGGAAAACATGCTTACAAGACATACATATGATAAAGACTATAGCCAGGCTATATAAAGAACATCCCAAATTCAATAATAAGAAAACAGTCCCATTTAAAAGTGGGCAACAGATCTAAACAGTCAATTTGAAAACCTGTGTCCACATAAAAACCCACCTGTGAATGTTTACAATAAGATATACAGATGGCAAATAAGCACATGAAAAGACACTCAATATCATTGTTTTATTAAAAACCACAATGGGATACCACTACACACCTATTAGAATAGCTGAAATTAAAAAGACTGACTGACAAGTGTTGGTAAGGAAGTGGAGAAGGAATTTTCATAAATTTTGGTATGGAATGTAAAATGCTAAAATCACTTTGGAAAATAGTTTAGCAGCTTCTTGAAAACATAAACCTACCACACGTCCAGTCATTTTGTTCCTAAGTATTCATAGGAAAGCTTATCCTACATAATAAAAGGCTAATATGCAAATTGTCCCCCAGACAGGAGTTCAACTGACCAGGAGTTAGATGTGCCCTGACCACCAGGGGGTGGTGTGGAATATGATGGGCCCCGACAAGAGCAGGACCATGGCGGGATGGTGGAGCAGGTGAGTGGGTGGTGCCAGGCCAAGGCTGGCAGCCGCTAAGGGCCCTACCTATGCACAAATTTCATGTACTGGGCCTCTAGTGTCCATAGAAAGACATGTATAAGAATTTTATAGGTATATATATGTATATTAAACAACCAAAATATACATTAATAGGTAGATAAACAAATCTTGGTAGACTTCTACAGCAGAATACTTGACAATAAGGAGTGAACTATTGCTATATGCAACAACATGGATGAGCTCAAAATAATGCTGAAAGGAGCCGATCACACACAGACAGTATCAACTGCATGATTTTGTTTAGATTAAACCCCTGAAAATGTGAATAAATTGGAGTCGTTCATGACAGGAAGTAGATCAGCAGTTCTCTGGTTGGGGGGAAAGGGCACAGGAACAGGGATTACAAAGGAATAGGACACTTTCAGGAGTGACTGATATGTTCACCACCTTGATTGAGGTGATACTCGCCTGGGTGTACATATATCAAAACTTGTCAGATTTTATATGTGCAGTTTATAGTATATCAGTCAGATTTCAATATGCTAATGTAGTGATAATGTGGTACTAAGTAGACCAAGATTTTTTTTTCTTCTCAGAGAGGAAGTTCTGTATGGAGGGTGGAAATTCAGGACTTTCAATAATGACATGAGGAACTTGCACAAGATCAATCAACTACCTCCCTAAGTACACTGTTTAGTTCAGCTGATATATATTTTTTCATAATCAAAATTTCCAGTGAAGAAAGTATATTGATGAACATTCTGGCACCAGGTCATCTATAATCATCTACACTAATAAAAGAGAAACATGGTAATTGGCGTACGACCACTACCCTTCCCATTGGCTAATCAGCGAGATATGCAAATTAACTGTCAGCCAAGATGGCGGCCGGCAGCCAGGCAGCTTGAAACTAACATGAGGCTTGCTTGCTTCAGTGACGGAGGACTCCAACGTTCCCCGCCTGACTTGCCGGCCTCTCAGCTGCAACTCTAAGCAACTATGTTGCAAATGTAGAAGCTAAACAAAACTCCAGAAACCTGCTTTACTCAGCCAGGCTTCAGCCAGCCGGACCGCAACATTGTATCAAATACAGACGGTAAACAAAGGCCAGAAACCTGTTTTCAGCAGCCGAGGCCTCAGAGCTAAAGCTGGCCCAGAATAAAAAAAAAGAAATAAAGAAAAAAAGGAGCGGTTGGGAGCTTCAGCCACCCGTCAGCCTGAAAACGGCCCTCAGCCCCTCAGCCAGAATGGCCAGGCACCCCAGTGGGGACTCCCACCCTGATCCAGGACAACCTTCAGGGCAAACCAGCCAGCCCCCACCTGTGCACCAGGCCTCTATTTTATATAGTAAAAGGGTAATATGCCTCCCGGCACCGGGATCAGCGTGACAGGGGGCAGCGCCCCAACCCCCTGATCGGCCCTGCTCTGTGGGTGATAGAGGGTGGCACCCCAACCCTCCCCCACCCCCCCGCCACGGGCCCTGCTCTGTGTGTGATGGGGTAGAGCCATAACCTCCCCATCGGCCCTGCCCTGAGTGTGACAGTGGTGGCGCCCCCAATCCCCTGATCGGCCCTGCTCTGTGGGTGATAGAGGGTGGCGCCCCAACCCCCTTATCCGCCCTGCTCTGTGTGTGACAGGGTACGGAGCCCCAACCCCCCTGATGGGCCCTGCTCTGTGCATGACAGGGGGCAGCGCCCCAACCCCCTGATCCACCCTGCTCTGTGCATGACAGGGGGTGGCGCCGCAACTTCCCTATCGACCCTGCCTTGAGTGTGACAGGGGGCAGTGCCCCAACCCCCCAATCGGCCCTACCCTGAGCGTGACCGAGTCGCAACCTCCCAATCTGCCCTGCTCTGTGCATGACGGGGCGGCGTCCCAACTCCCCAATCGGTCCTGCTCTGAGCCCGACCAGGGGCTGCACCTAGGGATTGGGCCTTCCCTCTGCCACCCGGGAGCAGGCCTAAGCCAGCAGGTCATTATCTCCCGAGGGGTCCCAGACTGCGAGAGGGCACAGGCCGGGCTGAGGGACCCCCTCCCCCCCCCCCCCAGTGCACAAATTTTTGTGCACTGGGCCTCTAGTATATATATATATATATAAAGAGGTAATATGCAAATTGTCCAGGATGTCGTAACGTCATGACCGCTCAGCAGGAGGCTGCACGTGCAGGTGGGCAGGAGGGGATTGTGTGTGTGGTGAGGCAAGCCACGGATGGCGCAGGACTGGAGAGAAGAGGGCCTGCCAGCCACAGTGCACCAGCAGTCCCACCTCTGCATGTGAGCTGCACAGGAAACACCTTTTCTGACCGCTCATTGTCTAAGCTCCTGGTACACCACTCCAAGAAGGTGATCTAGGGTTTTTCCACCTCACTCCGGGAGGAAAAAATGAAGGTCTGCTGCTAGAGGGGCTAAGAAATGTCATATCCTGCCCTAGCCGGTTTGGCTCAGTGGATAGAGCCTTGGCCTGCAGACCGCAGGGTCCGGGTTCAATTCTGGTCAAGGGCATGTACCTAGGTTGCAGGCTCCTCCCTGGCCGGGGCCCAGGTCAGGGCTCATCCAGGAGGCAACCAATTGACCTGTCCCTCTCACATTGATGTTTCTCTCTGTCTTTCCCTCTCTCTCCCACGCTCTCTAAAAATCAATGGAAAAATATCCTCAGGTGAAGATAAAAAAAAGAGAAAGGTCATATCCTATGAAAGAGACATCTTGAAAATGCCTAAAGTTGTAATTTTTTCGTGAAGGGACTGAAGTCTGTGTTGATGAGAACACCTTGGCAGCTGCTGTGGGAAGCAGTGGCAGCAGCAGCGGGGTGATGGGGGCAGTGTCTTCCCCTGATCAGTCTGGTCACCTCCCGCAGAGGGAGGCCAGACTGTGGCTTAGGCCCGCTCCATCAGTTGGACATCCCTTGAGGGTTCCTGGACCATGAGAGGGGGCAGGCTGGACTGAGGGGACCCACCCCCCCAGTGCATGAATTTTC